TTCAGTAATTTTAGTTGGTGAGTGCATGAATAATAATAAAAATAATAATAAAAAATTAATTAAACTTTCCTTGCTTGTTTATTGTATTCAATGAATCACATTTAAAAGGAAATTAATATATAAAAAAATGAAACCAACACTAAAAAAAATTAATTATCAGTATAGCACTATTGTTTTAAAATGTCTATAAAAGCAATGTTTTGGGATGCTCAAATTGTAAAAAAAGATTAAAAATTTTTTTTTTTTAAATTGTAGGTTGAGAGCTCCCTTACATATTCTTAACATTAATTATTAAATTGAATATAACGGATGAGATTGAAAGTATTTGGAAAATAAAAGAAACCAAAACTAGGGTGTCTTTCTTAATCAAGTTTGTAATAGCACTAAGAAATTGATCTTTGAATTTGAGAGGATTAAAATAAAATAAATAGTCATAATATGTCTAGATTATTCAACCAACATGTTTGAATGAAGATATGCTGCTTATATATATATATATATATATATATATATATATATATATATATGTGTGTGTGTGTGTATGGGTGGTGTATTGAATAATGGGTCAGAATGATAAACTGGAGAACAGAGTTCAAATTCCAGTTGGGCTTGTTACATTCACTTACATACAAGTACCCTTGGGAAAGGTATGTATTTGTCTCTTCTTCCCACCCCCAATTATTTTATTACTGTTTTTAATCATTTCACCCCAAGCAAATCGATAATGTCACTAAGATGCATGGGTTACTAGGGGTGAAAGAGAATGAGAAGGCTTGTTTGGCAACCAGTCTAGGAGAAGGAAAAATTGTTTCAAGAAAAAAATGTTATAAATTTCAACCGAGAGTAGTATTGGCTGCTCAGTTAGTGAATGCTAAATAAGGAAACAACTACTATTGCTATTATCATTACCATTGTTGTTACTGGTATTTTTATTGCAAATATTACCATTACCAGTGTGTATGTGGATTCTTATTGCTATCATTACTATAATGAGTAATACTTGCATAGACCAAAGTTTAGCTATTGAAAAATCTGGAATCATTTTCCATTTTTAGATTTTATTTAATGTTTTTAAAATTAAACAAGTAATAATTTAAAATTATTTTTTTTCTTAAAATTATAACTGTCAAATAATTAGGATAATAAACTATTTAAATATATATATATATATATATATATATATATGCACATTTTATTAAAAACGACAGACAAGGTGCTTTTATTTAGTTTTTTATACAATTTCTCATGCGATGTAATAATTTTTTTCTTTTCAGATGATAAATTATATAAAAACTGTCCAAATGTTCTTTTTATCCAAGCGCCTTTGGCTATACATTTAGCCATTTTCAAGGATTATATTTTAACTGTTAAAATTAGAAATTAACATGCAGAATAAGTCTACACCTTTCTGACAATAGCTCAATTAGATCTCATTTAAATATTCATGGAGACCTACCAGACACTATTCGGAACATACTTGTCGACAACACTAATATAATAGCATCATCCACATGCAAAAAAAGGCTAAAAATAATGGAAGCCTTATTAATAAAAACAAACAAACCAACACTTAATAATATTAACTTTGAACATGGACATAATATCTTGACCGTGTTTTGAAACAAAAAAAATGAAAACATTTTATAAAACATATATACAACAAACTATTTCTAATTTTAATAGTTAAAATATAATCCTTGAAAATGGCTAAATGTATAGCCGAAAGCGCTCAGATAAAAAGAACATTCAGACAGTTTTTATATAATTTATCACATGAAATGAAAAAAATTACTAGATTGCATGAGAAATTGTATAAAAAACTAAATAAAAGCACATTGTCTGTCGCTTTTACACAAATATAATATAAATATATATATATTAATGAAAGAAAAAAGATTGCTACCTAAATACACAATATATATACATATATATATATATATATATATATAAATATAAATATAAAATATATATATATATATATATATAAAGCAAAATCATCTTTTAAATTATAATCTACTTTTCACTTTCGTTATAATTATTGTTGTGTTTTTGTTTCTTAAATCATTACTGATGTATCTTATTTCTATTATTGTTACTGCTGTTGTCATTTCTCCTATCGCCTCCTTTACACAATCATCATTTTTTTTTTCTTCATCCTCAATGACAGATTTTATATCAAGGTGCAACTATACCTATGTAGACATGCCAAACAAAAGACGAGATCTGTAGGAAGAGAGACCTAGAAAGACAGGAGAATGCAAACAAATATGACCCTGCAACTCACAACCTACTTAACTTGGTCTTTAGCCAATGATATTTAAGTATGAAAAATTAGAAGCATATATAAAGTTAGCAAGGCATATGTTCCTCCCTCTAATAAAAATTCCTAGAGACAAAATCAGAACATCTTTATTTCAAATAATGTATGCAGGAAATTTTTTTTTTTTAAGCATATCACCCTCAGCAAGGTGTACCACTAGCATGTAGGGGGTTACAGAGAGTGAGAGCAAGAGTAAAGAGGGGTGCTTGAAAGGATAAAGAGAAAGACAGGCATCAAGATCAAGGATTCAGAAGATGTCAATTGACATTACATTTAAATATTTGAAGATAATATTTATCAGGAAAGCAAGTAAGAGGGAGTTCCACTGAAGCTGTTGGAGTTAAAGAGATGCCTGCATTTAACCATTTCAACAGTGAAAGGGATGGGACCAAGATGCCAACCTAGTAGCATGCTTAAATTCACACAGTTTGGGTACCAGTGAAAGTAGCTTGTCAGAGTAGTTGCCATGAAAATATTTGTAGAAAAGACAAAGGGAAGCCACAGTACGTCTGTGGGAAAGAGGCTGTAAACAAGATGCCAAATTAGCACCTATCACATTGCAAAATCTCTGGATTTTGTCGAGTACCTCATGATGAACAGTGGGTGCACAAAACCATATATGGCAGCAGTATTCAATGCAAGGATGAATGGTTGATTTGTAAATTTGAAGGATGGAATCAGCATCGGATTCTTAGATTTATTCTTTTAAAAACAAACTTTGAATTAATTTAACTTTGAATTAATTTAACTTTGAATTAATTTAATATTCCTTTTTTTAATACCAGTTAACTATAATTTTTTTCTCCAATTAAATGATTATAGCTCTTCCTAACTATTTTTTTTATAATACCTGTGAATTGGAATGACTATTTTTGGGAAAGGTAGTCAAATGGTTACGCATTTGCTTTCTGGGAGACATGAAGAAGAATTGGGGATTGAAGAATTTGAGACCCACATGAAATATTGAAAGCAGGATGATAAGAAGGAAGCAGTGAGTAAAATATCTAACAAGCATCTCTAAATGGATGCAATAATAGGGAGATGGAGAGAAAGTAAAATAATAAATATTGGGTGGAGCTACAAAGATTAAGATATTGTGCCAAGTCATGCTCAAACAACGTCTTGAATGGACATGGCACACGAAAGAAGATTATTAATGACAAATGGTTATTGACATTCTGAACCATCTCTATTGAATTTATAGTTTCTACTATATCCCTGGATAATTCTTTTGTCTCTCATTATCTATGCTTTGTTAGCTATCTGTTCTTCTTTTAACACTCCCCTTCTTCACAGGACTGTAATAGAAAAATATCTGACAGTGCAGAAATGGTTGTCTCTCTACATTCAGCTGTGAACATCTTTATGTTTGGTGATTTTAAGAAAGGCAGTACTTCACTTTCAGGCTGATCTGGTTCTTGCAAAAGTAAAAAAAGTATAGCAGAAGTCAGGTACTTAGTTTTGAGTATCTTTAGTGTTCCATTTGAAGTCTGGGTTCTAAAATGCACTCCAGGCACAGGACCTTCCTGAGAGAACACCAATTCATTATGACAGGTGAAAATTTAAGGTAATTTGGTTCTACAAAATTTCTTGGAGACATAAGGAAGAAGGAGAGCTTAAAGAATTTGAGACCTACATGAAATATTGAAAGCAAGATGATTAGAGAGAAGCAGTGAGCAAAATATCTAACGAGTATCTCTAAATGGATATAATAATAGGAAGTTGGAGTGAAAGTAAAATGACAAACATTGGTTAGAGCTAGAAAGAACAGGATGTTGTGGTAAGTCATGGTTGACCACATCCTGAATGGACATGAAAGAAGATTATTAACAACAGTCATTAATTGACACTGAACCATCTCTATTGACTTTAGATTTGCTGCTAAAAGGAATTGTCTCTTGAGTCCCCAGATGATTCTTTTCTGTGCTTTCATCTCACATTATATACACTCTGTTAGCTATCTATTTTTTCTTAATTGCTCCCCTTCTTCTGAGGACTGTAAAATATTGTAAAAAATATCTGATAGTACAAAAATGATTGTCTCTATCTTCAGCTGTGAATGTCTTTGATGTTTTTACTACTCATCAAGTCAAGTGGCTTCATCAGTCTAATACCACTGATGTTGCCACTATTCAGACTTTCAGTTTTGCTGTTGGTCAGTCCCTCTGTCAAACAGTAGACTACCTCACTTATTTCCCTCATAATTTTGACCAAGATGCCTCCTAATTCAATTTGTTCCTTACCTCCTCTCCTGAATTGTGTCATGCATTGCAACGCTAACTCTATCCTCTGAGCATTTTGGATCATGCTGTAGTATCAGTTTATTAGAAGGCATGAACCTCATATTCACAAAACATCTTTCTGGTAACACTGTACCAATTGATTAATTTCACAATGCCCTTGGATTTGATCGATTCGGTTTCTATGGCTTATCGACCTTTTGCAGGTTATTTAAAGCCAGAAAATATTTTTACATTGTAAGAATTTGTTTTAGATAATAATGATTTAGTGATACAAGTCTTACTAATTAACCCATAGCTGGAGGAATAAGAGGTGGATTCATACATTTCTCAAGGACATTTTTACATAAGGGAATATAATGAAAGCAACTGGAATTGGAACTCTGCTCTTCTATTAAAAATTCTAAGTCATTATCCATTACACCACCTGTACATCCAAGCTTACAGCTCTTGGTATTCCCAAGCAGTTATCCATCTAGGTACTGACCTGGTGCGACATTGCTTAACTTTGGAGATTGTATAGGAACTGGTGTTTCAAAGTGATGTGGCCATAATTCCATCCCCTTGGAGTAAAATCTTTAGTCTTCCTACTGAAAATTATGATGCTAATGTTTCTTCTTTGGTTAAAGTTCACATTGAGGCTTCTGTGCCATTTTGGAAATAAAAGACAAGACAATCTTCTTCTTTGTTCACACTTGTCTGTTCAGCCACTATAGCCCACAGGAATCACTTTTTCCAGGTATACCAGTGTTTCTTAATGAGGAGTGCTCACACCCACTAAGGGTGCAATGTCAGTTCCTAGAGGGTGTGATGATACAGAATCATTAGGGTTAGTTTATTAAGGAAACTCTAGTGCTGATGATGACAATGACATCAAAGAAGATCTAATCAATCTGCAAAGCAATCATGGAATCCAGATAGAGTTCACCGATGGCTGCCTGGAGCAATTGTAGGATTCCCTGTTGGAAACATATCCTGTACTGGCAAAAAAAGATCTTGCTGTGTTGGTGCCTTTTGTGACTACATACCTGTGCAAAACTGCATTTTCCTGTCTACTTCACATCAAAACAGAAACTAAGAGTAGAAATCAACTGGTGAGTAGCATTCATCACTAAAACGCCAAGAGTTGATGTCATCAAAAACAGAAAACAACATTAACAGAGTCACTGAGTTTGTTGCTCAACCATAATCATTCGCAACACACCATGCATAGTACAAGCACACATTACTGTAATTTTATTTTTTTGCTAATATGAAAGTAATCTGGGTTCTTCTAATGCATTATTTTGTTGTCAGTTATGTGAATAAAGATTAAAGAAAGACAATAGTTTTGTTATTTACACAGGAGATCAATATTGTTTTTTTATCAGTTCTGGAAGTGAGTGTAAGAACAGGATGGGGGTTCGAAAGGGGTGTGAGAATTGGTTGGTGGTTTGTAAGGGGTGTGAGAATTGGTTGGTGGTTTGAAAGGGTGCGAGAATTGGTTGGTGGTTTGAAAGGGGTGCGAGAATTGGTTGGTGGTTTGTAAGGGGTGTGAGAACAGAGAATGGTGTTTTGAAAGGGGTGCGAGAACTGGTTGGTGTTTTGAAAGGAATGAAAACAGGGAAAAAAGACTAAGAATCATTGAGCTATACCAATATGATAGCTCTGATCACAATGTCCTCAATATCCTTGAAGTTGTTGTTTGCTGATAGAGTGAGGCACCATAAACCCTCTCTCAAGTTTGGTTCTCATGACTACTGGCAGCTCTGTAAGGGTTTTGTAAATAAGAGTATGTCCTCAATCCCTTCTCTCTTTAAGCAATTCAGAGTGCTGCCAATAAAGCAGAATGCTTTGCTCATAAATTCTCTTCCAATTCTACTCTTGACTCATTTTCCACTTAGAACTGAGTCTGCATATGCATATAACTATAGTTTTTGCTATCCACTCCAAACTTGATCTCCACAAAGCATGTGGACTCAATGCCCCTACTCTAGATTTAAAGAAATGTGCTCCTGAAATGGTTCCTGCCCTCTCTAAGCTCTACAATAGATGCTGTTCACTATGCTGAATCTTGTGGTCCTACCAAGGATTGAACTCACCTTCCTTGGCTAACAAATTTCTGAAGATATTAAACTCCAACTCCTCAGCTTAATGGATGTGGCCTAAGCAGTGGCAGTAGCAGGTTTGTCTCTCTTCCAGCCAAAGTGGATTTAACCTTTAGGCATTATTTACATTTGCTGAAATTTCTCCTCAAAATAAATTTTTCTATTGTCTGGTGAAGTGCTGACACACAGCTTATTGATCAAGATCATGTTTTATTAGATGCCTTATTCTTGCATTCCTGTTTGTGGAAATTATCTTCTGTAGTCACAGTCTTTAAAAAATCTGGCAATCTAATCTGTCAAAATATCGACCTATTAGTCTTTTGCCTATTTTTGGCAAAGTACTAGAGGCTCAAATCAACTCTGAAGTGGTTAAGCATTTCATCTCACAGTGTCTTCTTTCAGACAAACAATATGGCTTTCACTTCTCTAGGTCAACTGTTGATGTGTTGATGGTTATTGCTGAATGAATTTGTCAAGCTTTAGATGAGAATAGTGAAGCTTAGGTTATGGCTTTTGATATTTGATATAGTTTGGCATGTTGGACTTCTTCATAAGTTGGATGGTTTATGTTGTTTCTGCCCATTTCATTGATTTGATTCAATCTTTCTTATCCAAACTCTAAAATGAATGTTGTCTTGAATGGCTATTCATCTAGATCTTTTTACATCAATGCAACTGTCACTCAGAGCTCTATTCTTAGACCCACTATGTTTTTTTATTTGCATCAACAAACTTCCTGATGTCATCAGTTCTTGACTTTCTGATGACACAGTTATTTAATTCTGTCTTAATGGTAAAGATTTTATTAAATCAAATTGGCAGCAGATCTAAAAATTGGCCCCCAATCCATTGTTAATTGGAGCAAGAAGTGGTTTGTTTACTTTAACACCTCTAAAATGAAACTGGTCTCTTTTAAATCATCTTTTTTTTGCTTTCTATCACCATGGTTGATGCTGACCTCCAGGAGAGCAATTCACCGCACCTTCTTGACCTCACATTTTCCACTGACATTAAGTAGAATGATTATATTGAAAACTTTTTTACTAAGTCTGCTGTTAGGAAAGTCAGTTAACTATATCATGCTAGACACCTAGCACATTTATATGTCTACCATTCATCCATAAATTGAATATACTACCACATCTCATATAGTGCTTCTGTTTTATATCTAGAGATTCTTGACAAAATCCAAAGAAGTGGATGCCAGGTCAAAACCCTTATCAGTCCTGACCTGTCATCTCAGCTTCAGTCACTTTCCCATCACTGTAATGTAGCTCTCATTTGCCTTTTCTATAAATACTTTCACTGTAATTTTTCTGATAAGCTTTCCTTGAGGGTATGCTGACTTTCCAAATGTAAGCACAGTACTAGTTTGGCAGCTAGCTCGCATAATTCCACTGTTGAAATTACAAGTTGTAACCATAACATCTATTCTAATAGTTTCTTCTGCATCTTTCCCTTGTGGAACTCTCTTCCTGTTTTCCTGTCAACCTACAATCTTCAAAAATTGAAATGCAATGTCAATTGTCATCTTCTGTCTCCTTAAATTTTATTGTCCTCTGCTTTATCTTTCCCAATAAGTCACAGATTATAAACAAAAAAATGTTTGGGGATATCCATAATCCCCTACATCCTGAAGGGATATAACATTAAAAACATTTTGGAACACACACACACACACACACACACACACACACACACACACACACACACACACACTTTGTGTGTGTGTGAGTTACTTATCAGCTGTCAATATACCACATAAAACCCTTGAGTGCTTAGTCTTGGAGCGGGTAGAATGGAGATCAACGTGTTTTAGTGGACTCAGCAGTTTTCAATCTACTTGTCTGAATCATCTTTAAGAAGTGAGAGCAAGATCTAAAAGGTCAGCCAATCTAACAGTGATATCATCTCACAATCCTCACTCTTGCTCCATATGTGGCCTCCTTTGTAAATCACTAGCGGGTCTAAAATGCCACTTAAGATTATCACACAAAATTTCATAACTGAATCAACTAAGCTGCCATATTCCTCATACGTCAAAACCGAGAAGAGAGGCCATTAAATATCTATAAGAACACCGGATTATATATCTTACTGTTCTTTCTTTTTATATATATATATATATATATATATATATATATATGGGTGTGAAATTTCTAAAAATAACATAATTACCAGCAATACATTTTTGGAAAAAAATATTACCAGCAATAAAAATCTTGTTAGCATTAAATAACCCATAACCCATTGAGGTTGATATGCCATAAAACAAACCAAACCAAACCATCTCTGTCAATCCCAACATCATTTTATGTAGCTGGTAACATAAACAGGTGGCATCAGAACTACCGAGGGAGAGTCTGTCCCCGTGAATGAGCAGTCCACAACTGTTCTTCAATTCCAACTGTAACTGTAAATACAGACCAACAACTGGAAAATCATCAATGTCCAGATTTTTGTAACTTGACTCCATTTTATGAAAAAAAAAAATGAACAACCGCAGTTTTAATGGGGTACTTGAAAAGAGAGACCAACTATCAAAGTTTTTCAACACTCCAAGACCCACATTAGGCATTAGTATATCTGTGATGAACTAACACCATAACATCATGAAAGCAAGCTTTAATTTATTTTATTTTTCAGTTAAGTAGATGTTGTTTAAAATACCCACCTTCAAAGACTTTACCCATCAGTCATAATACATGAAACAGTTGAGATCCATATAAAACCTCATAGTTTCCCTTTCTATGAGTGTGTCCCAACTATAGTATCACAATATATGTGAGGTCTGGAGTGAGCTTGAGACCTAGCCTAATTGAGAGTGCAATCATTCATGATGACTGAAAAAAAAAATTGCTTTTAGAATTAGGTTGAAGTTCTATGTAACTATTATACACATTTATTCTATTTTACGGCTTGCATTGTGGTTATTTAAGCAGTATTTAATAAGTCCGAGTGGTTCAATAAGGTCAAATTGGCAGCTAATCTAAAAAAGGATTTACATTTTGTTATTAACTTGGGTTTGTTATTTATAATGCCTCCAAAATGAATAATTGTGGTTATTTAAGCAGTATTTAATAAGTCCGAGTGGTTCAATAAGGTCAAATTGGCAGCTAATCTAAAAAAGGATTTACATTTTGTTATTAACTTGGGTTTGTTATTTGTAATGCCTACCAAATGAAACCACTCTCTTTTAATCATCTGAGAAAACTCTTTTTGTTTTCCATCAGCATATGGCTGATGCTAACCTCCAGGAGAGTGACTCATTTAGCATTCTAGGGATAACGTTTGCCACTGACATGAAGTGGAAAGATTATATTGAGTCAATTGTGAGGTATGCTGCTAGGAAAGTTGGTTCCCTGTGTTATGCTAGACAATTTTTCTTGTCAGAATCTCTCTTAAATATTTATAAGTCTACCATTCATCTTTGCTTTTAATATTGCTGACACATATAGTCTGGGG